GCCTTAAATTAACTTAAATTAACTCCACACCTGCCTCTGTCTTTTCATTGTTTTATTACCACAATAATTCAGATGCAAGTAGGGAAGTCCGAGCTGTGTCCCAGAGACCAGAGATGAAGGGAAGGTTCTGGGCTCCAGTTTTTCGAAAAAGTCACATAAGAAAGTATAAGATGAATTTGATCTTTCAAATAAACCTATAGTGAAACCTCGCTTCTTTGATTTTTTTGTAGTGGTGGTGACACCACTTAGAAGTAACTGGAGAGAGAGACTTATAAAGGAGAGTGAATGCAGACATCCAATTGGAAAAAAAATTGCAGATATACAACCAATAAAACTATTCTTTTTAATAAACAAAGAGCTCTTTTACATTATTAATAAAATAAAGAATATATATGTTTAAAAGGCAAGACATGTGAGTAGAAAATTCATGGAAAAAAGAATTTACACTGCCAGTCAGTAATTCAAAATGTCTAACCTACACAAAGGAAGGAAATGAAGTTTAAAAAATGAGGTGCCTCTCTGACCAAGAGGTTAGCAAAGATTAATTATACGTGACATAGGACACTGGTGACGGTGAAACCCATTTGTTGGATTATCTGGAAAGAATTTTTAGGAAGAAAATTTGATAATATCTTTGGTTTTCCTGGTGGCTCAGATGGTAAAGAATCTGCCTGCAATACAGGAGACCCAGGTTCGATCCCTGGGTTGGGAAGATCCTCTGGAGAAGGAAAAGGCTACCCATGCTATTATTCTTGCGTGGGAAATCCCACGGACAGAAGAGCCTGATGGGTTACTGTCCATGGGGTCACAAAGAGTCAGACACGGCTAAGTGACTAACACACTTGGTGGTTAAAAACATAAATCCTTAGAACCAGCCATTCAAATCCTTTTCATAGAATGTGTCAGCCAACAGTCTTGTCTGTTTTTTAAATAATTTTGTTTATTTCTTTATTGTTGACTGTGCTGGGTCTTTGCTGCTGCGAGAGCTTTTCTCTAGTTGTGGCGAGCGGGGGCTCCTCTCTAGTTGGGGTGGGGGCTCCTCGTGACGGTGGCTTCTCCTGTTGTGGAGCCCGGGCCCGAGGGCGCGCAGGCTTCAGTAGCTGCAACATGTGGGGCTCCGTAGTTGTGGCGCAGGGACTTAGTTGCTCCGTGGCATGCGTGATCTTCCTGGACCAGGGATCAAACCTGTGTCTGCTGCATTGCTGGTCAGATTCTTTACCACTGAGCCACCAGGGAAACCCTGTTTGGTTTGTTGTTGTTGTTGTTGTTTGTTATTTTTAGTATTGATGTATTTGGCTGTGCCGATTCTTACCTGTGGCACATGGGATCTTTCAGTTGTGGCATGTGGGATCTTTAGCTGCAACATGTGGGATCTAGTTCCCTGACCAAGGATGGAACCTGGGCCCCCTGCACTGGGAGCATGAAGTCTTAGCCACTGGGCCACCAGGAAAGTCCCTAGTCTTCCCTGTTTTTATAGTATAAATGAATCTAAGGACACTCAGGGCTTCCCAGGTGACTCAGTGGGTAAAGAATCCACCTGCAATGCAGGAGTCGTAAGAGACGTGAGTTCAATCCTTGGGAAGATCCCCTGGAGGAGGGCTTGGCAGCCCACTCCAGTATTCTTGCCTGGAAAATCCCATGGACAGAGGAGCCTGATGGGCTCCAGTCCATAGGGTCTCAAAGAGTCAGGCATGAGTGAAACGACTGAGCACACACAAGGACACTCAAGTAACATTAATATTTGTTGCTTTGGGGATGTGGAGAAGAAAAGAGATGTCTGCTTTTCATTTTTTCCCACTTTTGTACTGTTTGAACATTTTATTTTATTTTATTTTTGTTTGAACATTTTAAAAATCAGATGTTAAAATTGTTTTCTAGACATACCAACTTGCTTAGCAATAAAATAAATCTTACCTCTGGTCTTAGGATCTTCTTAAATTCTTTGTTTAATAAATGAACCGTCAATGTGCAGATGAAATATGAGATTTTTTTTAATCCATTGCCTCATACACCAAATATAATCATTCAGCAGAGTAATCTTGCTGGGCCTCCCTGGGTCCTATGCCCTGTGGCTGTGTGCTTAAGAAACCAGCTACAGGTTTCTCCTGTAGGTTCTCCTGCCCCAGAGCCTTGCTCTTACCCATCCAGTCTGACTGTCCCAGACCCACAGATACCATCCCGTTTCATACCACATCACATACCCTCTGCCCTGCATTTCTAGGGTGTCCTGGAAGGTAAAGAGTGATGGTAGGACTTGGGCCGGGAGTAGGATAGGAGTAGGCAAGAATTAGAGGGGCTGAGAACTAGGAGAGGAGCTACGTGATCAAAGAAGCAATGACAGTGAGGGCAGTAACTGCGTATTGATGATTAACTGGGACCTGTATATTCAGTTTTAATGTGTTCTGTATTTTGTGTAAGCTCATGAGCCCTGGGAAAGTCAGCATTGTGAGCCCTGTTCTGCAGGTGAGGTGACATGCTCAGAGAGTCCCTACAGGTACTGAAGCAGCTGAGCTGGAATTCAGAACAAAGCCTGCTGCTGCTCTGTGTGAGCAGCTCATGCGTGGGGGGGGAGGTGGGCACTAGGGAAGGGGTCCATTGACTGTCTCAAGGGATCACTTTACAATTTAGCTCCAGGCATCATGATGCTGGGCCTGTCTCAGAGATATTGGACTCTGGAAGGACTAAAGTCTTCGGCTGTGTTAGCTGTGATTATGCGTGTTTGTGGAGGGGCATCAGGCAGGAGAGATGAAGAGGAATGTCTGATCTGGCGGAGTCTGAAAAGGATGACATTCCTTCTTGGGAATGGAATTATCAGCAGTACTTTATTATTTGTGATTTCCCCTCAGTCCATCAGCAAATACTGCAAAACCACCATTCTTGATGGAGCTGTCCCCTCCAGTGGATCCGGCTGGGCTAGCCTTGAATCGTGACCAACCAGGGGCAGCCTCAGCTGCTTCAATCCCCCACGGTCGCCGATTCAGCAGATTCATGTATCCTGGGCTGCAGAATGCTGAGGCAGGCGATTCATCTTTGATTTTCCTTTTCATCCCCCATGAGAGCCTCACATAGTTTTCCCTACAAACTGGCTGACGTCCCACTACCAGGAGAGGCTCAGAACTGGTATGCCTGGAAAAGTCCCCCATGGCCACAAGGGGAGCAGTCTCTCTAGATGGGGTTGAGGTTGCCCTAGATATCTAGCAACTGTGGCTAAAGGGCTGGGGGGCCGCTAGATGCCATGGAAGGGACTGAAAATTAGTACCCCCTGAGGAGGAGTGCTGAAGTCACTGGCAAAGATTCTGGTGGCTTTTCTTAGACATATGTCTTCAGTCTCCCCTCAGAATGTTGCTTTCACTTTTTTTCAGTCTGAGGGGCAGCCCTGATGCTGGGCCTGGGAGACGCAAGTGCGAGTGTCAGGCTGTGTTTGCCGAGAGCCTGGATGGAAGGTTCTAGTCCTCAGCGAGTGTGTTCTGAGTTCCTGGTATTGTGCTGGGTACTTGAGGCGTGTTAGCTGGTTTTCCCCTCACCTTAGCCACATCAGGTAGGAAGCTCCTGCTCTGGAGATGAGGCTGCTAAAGCTCAGAGGCTCAGGAATCTGCCATGGCCCCAGAGTGGCTGGAGTTCTGGTGTGGGTAATGTGGGCGCCAGAGCCAGTCTCTCTCTGTGTTGTTACCAGCAGGACCAGGGCTGTGTGGAGGTAAGGCCCCATGTAATCTCGGGGGGATGATGTCTGTTTCAGACTGCCCCTCTGGATGATAGGGGCTGTGTTTTTAAGGGCCCTCAAGGAGCTGGGCAGATGCTGGCTTTTCTCAGGACCAAACAGTCCTTGCTGCTGAGAGCATGTGGGTCAGAATAAACCCTTGTTTCTCTTAGTCAGAGCGCTTCCCAGACCGTCTGATCCGTTCTCCCTTACCTCAGTGGCGAGTCTCCCATCAGGAGAGGGGCTGAGTATTGACAAACATGCCAGTAAGCGCATCCCCACCCCCCACCCCAGAAGTAATCGTGTGGCAGGGCCCTGGAAGACTGTGGAGCAGGCCTGGTTGAGGAGACTGCTCAGGGGACGAGTCCACCTTGTTCCCAGTCCTGGCCTGCCTCCTGAACCCCAGCCCCGGCTCTGGCCTCCACGCCTCTTCAGCACTTCCATTCTGCACCGTACAATGGTGTGTGTCCCCGCAGCCCCTATTATCATCTGGAATCTGGATGTTTCCTGTTCTGCTCTGCTTATTTCCTGGAGGGACTGGACTATGCCTTCCCGTGACACCTGGAGCTCTCGACCCATTTGTGTCTGTGGAGTCTCCCTCTCTCCACTCTCGGCCCTGCCCTGTGGCTTGTCTGAGTGGCCTGACTCTTGTCTCATATACTCTTAGGTCAGCATTCTCTCACACTTGAGTAAGCCTGGGTTTTTTTTTTTTTTTTCAGAGGGCACCTGCTAGACTTATTTATGAGGCCTCTTAATTTATAGTTAGCTGGATCCCATTTTACTCCCTCGTGTGACTCTCATTCCTGCCGAGGGATTTTGCCATCACTGTGTGCAAACATTAAAGACTACGTTTTGTTCAGAGGTCCCAATTTGGCAAAAGGCCCAGGAGGGCCACAAGCTTGTTAGCAGTGTGTTGGGTGTCCTGGGGGCATGAAGAACAAAACTGAGGCCTGGTCTCTTGATGCAGGGCTTGATGGGCCCTGTGAGCTCAATGGGGACTTGGGTGAAGGCCCTTGGGAAATAGTCAGCTTTTGTGAGGGGGGGTGGGCACCCCATCATTGGATATGAAACTGATTCTTCATGTGTATCCTAAAAGTAATATACAAGTGCTTAGCATTAAGAAAAAGAATAAGGCAATACATAAAAGTGCATAGAAAAATGTAAGACCCACTTTTTTCACCCACATCTCATCACCCAGAGATGATCAGTGTTTATGGCAGGATTCTTGGGTTTTAAGTTTTGGTCTATGTGAAACAGTTACGCCTTGTCTTTCCTGAACTAATAGTGGCCCTTCTCTCTGCAGAACATGGAGAGTTCCTGGCTCTGGACCTGGGAGGGACCAACTTCCGTGTGCTTTGGGTGAGAGTAACAGACAATGGACTCCAGAAGGTTGAGATGGAGAACCAGATCTATGCCATCCCCGAGGACATCATGCGAGGCAGTGGCACCCAGGTATGAGCCTTCTGTTGGGGTAGCCATGGGGCTCTGGGCCCTACAGGAGCAGGTAATGCTCCTTCTCTGTGGTCTTGGAGGGAGGAGACCTTGACTCCCCTCTTTGCCGGATGATGCCTCTCAACACCTGGAGGCTAGGTGGGGGCCCCCACTGGGAGAGGTACATGTGGCCAGAGAGCATATGCATGAGACCCCAGGGTCTGGATGTGCTTTAGTGGGAGGGATTTTGATTTTCAGTCTCATCTGAGCTCTGCTTGTATGCACTGGTGATTGAGGAGTCTGATGTCAGGAGGCTGGGCCAGTATACCTGGATACCTTTGGTTAGTGGTATCATTGAATAGCAAGTCAGGAGAATACATAATTGTGGTTTCACACTGCCACCTGTCACGGTGATTGTTCTGACTCACCGTTGTTAGCCTAGCAAAGCATGAAAATGGAACCTGCTTCTTAACCTTTTTGGTTATTTGCTCTCCCTCTTTTTGACATTCTAAAACAGAAGAGGTTTTACACACAGGGATGAGACCCGTGTTGAAAAAAACCAGCTTTGGGGTGTCTCTTCCACTTGGCACTGCAGTGGGCTCTGTACTTCCACACTGGCCCCAAATCATGCTAAGTCATCCCCACATCTCTGTGACCCCAAGTCACACTTTGTACTCAGCACATACAATAGAAAGAGTGGATGGAGAAGAAATGTGAAATCCAAGTAAGAGTCATCTCAATAATAGCTAGAAGAGAACAAGCAAGGATGGACTTGCCATCACAATAGTGTCTGAACATGTGTTGAGCATCTTCTGTGTACTGGGTCATGGATCCTTGCTGGGAATCAAAGTCCTGGTCTACCCTTTCTGTTATTTAGATCCAACTGGACCACAAAGTCACACACATTGGCCCACAGAAAGTAATACATGTTGTGCAGGAGGAAGAACTGACAGGTGTCAGACAGAGTAAAGGCGCTTTCTATGGATTTCTTCTTTTTATCCTCACACTAGCCCTAAGGCTGGGTGCTTCTATTCTGTCCACTTTTAGATGTGGAACTGGGCTTTGAAAGATTGAGTAACTTGGCCTTAGATTACAGGGGGAGGAGGGGCCAGAGGCAAGGCACAAAGCCAGATCCAAATGACCAGAGCCTATGTTTGTCCAACCCTAGGAGGCTCTATCCACTTTTTAGGCCCCATGATGTGGCCTGTGGGAATGGTGCTTCCTGGAATTAGGCAGTATGGTGGTCTAGGGTCCCTACTACCTGCCCCTGCTTCCAGAGTAGAAAGCACTCCCCAAAGGGGCTAGTGCTAACTCTTGGGGGCTCTCTCCCTCTCAACAGTTCCCCCAGGAGAGCCTTCCTACAGAGGGCACTCATTGCCACCACACCAGAAGTATCTGGTTGGTTGGTGGGTGATGGCCACAGGTTCAGCCATTGTTCTCTGTCTTTCGGTATCCAAGAACAATGGTATATCCCCTTTCACCTGCTCTGCAGGTGAAAGAAGCTTTCTTGGGATGTTCTTTCTCCTCCTACTCTAGCTGCTGTCAGTTCACGGAGCGGAATCACCAAAGACATTCCTGGATACCAGCACAGCTATAGGGACACTCTGGAGTGCTGGCTATTCCTGCTGTGTTTATTATACCTAATATGTACTCAGTAGAAGTGTGAATGGAGGGAGGCGATATCTAAGGAAGGGACTCATCTCACATGGTCATCTCTTGAGCCTTGGAGCTTGGAAGAGGTGGAAACTTCTCACTTCGAATGCATTGTTCTTCCCACCACACCTAACCACCTCCTGGGAAAGAAATTTCGGACCATGAGTAGGACTTGTAGGGGAGACAGTTTTAGACCCTTTGTGTGTCCTTGGGCATGGCCCTGAGGGTAAAACTGCTTTCCTTGTTTTAATGCTGGGGTTGGGCAAGGGAGTCTCTGGGACTGTAGGATTTGAGCTCCACTGAGGTTGTCATGTGGCTCCAATATACAGAAACTAAACGTGTTAGTCCAACAAATCTATGAAACCCATCTGAAAGAAATTATGACTTGACTGCAATATAAATGCTCCCAATAGATTTTAAAAATGCTGTATAAAAATGAAACAAAGAAAACTAGAAAATACAGGTGCTCATTTCATTCCAAGGAAGGGAAAGAATGCTATCATTGTAAAAACTGCAGAAAACACTTGGTAAAAAGATTGGAAGGAAATTCGTAGTGGCTATTTTAGTGGTAGAATTATTGGTGCTTTTCCCCCCTATATTTTCCTTTTTCTTTCTTTTAAAAATATTATCTATCAACCTTTAATTATAGGAAAACAAATGGATTTAAAAATAAAATTTAGTTAAAACCATGACCAAATCACCATACTCAAAACTTGAAAAGGCTTTTGAAGATCTGTGAACCTGGGTGGTATGAGTCCTGGACAAAATCTGTCTCATGGCCCATGAACTTCCACTTGGGAGCAGTGAATTACAAATTTTAATAGCAGCCAGTTTAGATTTTTTAGTGTTTCCTGTGAGAAGGGGAGTGAGCAGATTCTCAGACCAATAAGGGAAAGGAAGCCTTTCTCCCTTCATAAAATAATGCCCTTTGAGCCTTTTTATGGCAGGAAAGTGTTAGTTCTTTCTCCCAGTATCTTATCCTTAGATCATCAGCTAACAGAAAAGGAGATAGTCTTCCTTTAAAGGAAGCAGATGGTCTCCTCCTCCCCTCTTTTAAAGAGCTGCAGGTTCTTCTAGCCCAACACTGTCCAATAGAACTTTTCAGAGTGGCAGAAATGTTCAGTATCTGCCCTGTACTGCGAGACAACCACTAGCTACTTGCAGTATTGAGCACTTGCATATGACTAGTGTGACTGAGGAAGTGACTTTTTAATTTTTAAAAATTCTAATTAATTGAAATAGCTACAGATGGCTGGTGCTACTGTATTGGGTAACACATTATCTAATGCCTCTTCACTGCCTCTCTCTTTTTTTTCCTGCCTACCCATGTTGGTAGTACAATTGGAAAGAGCAATGATCAGGGCTGGGAGAGGGGAAACCATTTCAAACGCTCCCCCTATCTCTGATGATTGGCCTTATCTCTTTGCACAGCTTCTGTAACTTCCTTTTTTTGGGTAAAACTATTGTACTAAAGGTAATTTTGATTAGAGTACCAGGAAGAAGGTGCTGGGAATTTGTTTAACCCTATTGTAAATTGTGTCACTCATCAGCTTGCCAACAGAACAGAACTTGCTGAATATCTATCCAGAAACCCTATTTCCACATTAAAATCCTTGATCTCTGCTCAAGGGAGTTGGCACTTAGGCATTGGGGATCCTCTTAGCGAGAGAGCTCTGTCATTACCCAGCATGTACTCTTGAGAAAGTTTTGGCTTGGAAATTGAGTGTTTCGGCATTAGTTGAGGTTAATTTTACACATGATCAGACAGAGACAGGATCCACTGGGAAGTTCAGTTAGAGCCAGCCCCCTTCTAGAAGGGGCTGGCCTTGTTTTCCTAGATTCTTCCCATTGACTGAGCATACCCCAGACATCTGGGGGCCAGTGCACCTCTTAACCTACCCTGTCACCCCAAGCCTCTCAGTCCCTTTGTAAATGCAAATACTTTTGGTGGTTTAGTGCAGTGGTTCTCAAACCGCTGCTTCAGGATTACTTCGAAGGCTCTACCACCACCACCTTCTGATTCAGGAGGTTTCAGTTTGGACATGCTGTTGCTGCTGCTGCTGTGGACTATACTTTGGGAGTCCCTGGACTAGTGGAATCTTCCTTGCTTCTGCCTGGAAAAGAAAAGGAACATTGTCTTCTTTTACCCCTCTTGGCTTTTAGATTTTGCCATCTGGTCAACCTGGCTCTTTGAATCTGCTGTCTTTTGGACCTTTGCTTACTTTTTGCACCAGAATGTTCCTGGCCTCAGCCTCTGTGTCAAAGGGGTCACCAATTTCTCTTTGAGGATATTGACTGGGGAAAAAGGAAGCCAAGGGGCTATGGGCTTTGGGACAAATTGAAAGTGGATGATTTCTTGGGCTTACAATTTTTCTTAGGAGCTTCGGATCCTGCCTCCAATAGTTATGGTTATGAGGCTGCCCATCCACAGACCCTGTTTCTTTTTCAGTGCTCTTTGTGACTCACTTAGGTTCTCATGTTGAAGTTAGAAAACAAAGATAACTTCTTGGAATTGCCCTCAGAAGACTGGAGGAAAGATCTAAGAGTTACTTTTGTTAAGTTCATTTATAGAATGCCAACAGAGAATGTCCCGTCCCCTCCCGCAGTCACAAGAGACTGGGATGCTAAAATACTTGTTGGCAGTCAGATGGGTTGCCCTTTCTGGTAAGATAATCAGCTGTGCATCCATGTCAAGGGAGGTTCTGACAGAGCCACTAAAGGGTATTCTGTTCCTAGGGCTTGTGATGACTTTCTGATTAGCTCTGGCTGCAATTTTTCCCTGCCCAATGTGGTTATTTTGATAACTGCATTGTGGTTTGGATAAATAGTCTAAGTGGAAGACAGAATTTAATAATCACTAACTAGTGTTAAGTCCTTATATGTGTTGACTCATTTAATCCTTTTGGTAACTTGTGAGCAGGTCCAGTTATCACCCGTTTTACAGATGAACAAATTAAAACTTCAGAAGGGATACATATCTTGCATGTACTCAGCCACGCTAGTTCCTTTCTGAGCCCAAAGTCCGTGCTCTTAATCTCTATCCTTTCTGCCTCCCTGCTCATCTTCCTGTGTTGTGCCCTTAGCTGTTTGATCACATTGCTGAATGCCTGGCCAACTTCATGGATAAGCTACAAATCAAAGAAAAGAAGCTCCCTTTGGGTTTTACCTTCTCATTCCCCTGCGTCCAAACAAAACTGGATGAGGTAAGATGAATCCTTCAGACATTTTTGTTGCTTCATTCTTTGGAATGGGAAGACTGGAAAGAACTCTGAGCTACTTGCTACTATGGTGATGGAGCTTGCTCTGATGGATTACATGGACAATGTTTGAATATTGGGAGATATTAGATCTGTCCTTCTAATAGAGTGTGTGTAGGTGTATGTGAGAGGGATGGTAAAGAGGTATTGGAAAAGTGGGGAGTCTTAATCAGTGTCCCCTCAGATGACTAAATGCAGGCCGACATGCATTGCACATTATCCTTAGCCCTCCTAGGGAAACAGGAGTGAGAAATTCAGGGACTCCTTTGTTCCAAAGTGTCATAATAAACATCCTTGAAAGTTTACAATATTAGGATACAAGAATTGTATTTTGGCAGTTCTATAGCCTGCTTCTTGGGGACAGTAAATCATTCATTTAACCTTCTTACTTGGTCTCTAACATAGTTTCTCCTTCGTAGGCTGATAAGGAAGACCTGTATAAAGTCAGTCATGACTTTAGTTTAGCCCCATGGCAGAGGTCTTCTAATGATGAGGAGTATGGACTGAGTTTTGTGGGAAATCAATATTCCTTTGTCCTTTTCCAGAGTTTCCTGGTCTCGTGGACCAAGGGGTTCAAGTCCAGCGGTGTGGAAGGGAAAGATGTGGTTACTCTGATCCGGAAGGCCATCCAAAGGAGAGGGGTGAGTGGGGGCAGCCAAGGGAGATGCAGGGGCTTGGGGGCTGGGGGCCCTTTACATTCTTTTGAGTCCACTCTGGAGGCTTGCCTTGTCTGTCCTCAAGTCGGCATGAGGATTTTTTATGGGTCTTAAGGAGAGGTTCTCTTTTCTTCTTCTCTGTTATGTTACCAAAAAAAAAATCTTTGTTTTTTTTCCCCAACTTTATTGAGAGTTAGCTCAATATATAGTGTGTGTATATATAGATATAGATATATTACATTATTATATATTATATATATATTATAAGTTTAAGGTGTGCTGCATAATGACACACCTGTATATTGAGAGACAATTAGCACACCAGTGATCTTATATATGATCAGATGCCTTTGGGCTCTTTAGATTAGCATGATGGACAACTAATCTTAGCCTTGGTAAAAGAAAAACCCTCATTTTCAAATGAGACGTTTGGGGTTTATGTTGGTATCAGGGTGGAATGGGGCAGAGAAAGGACATGATAAAGGTCTAGTCACAGAAAGGCAAGACCTACTGGGAGGGAGGGAAAGAAAGAGACTAAGAAGAACACAATGACAACAAGACAGGCTCTTCTTTTTTTTTTTTTTCCTTTATTTTTATCAGTTGGAGGCTAATACCTTTACAATATTGTAGTGGGTTTTGTCATACATTGACATGGATCAGCCATGGAGTTACATGTGTTCCCCATCCCGATCCCCCCTCCCGCCTCCCTCCCCATCCCATCCCTCTGGGTCTTCCCAGTGCACCAGCCCCGAGCACTCGTCTCATGCATCCAGCCTGGACTGGCGATCTGTTTCACACTTGATAATATACATGTTTCGATGCTGTTCTCTCAGATCATCCCACCCTCGCCTTCTCCCACAGAGTCCAAGAGACAGGCTCTTCTTAGCGTCGTAATGGCTGTGGACTAGACTGCAGGCCTGCTGTCAGGGAAGTCCTCTATGATGAAGACCAGTGGGGTGGGAAGTGAGATGCTGCCGTGAGACTGGATCTGGACCCAACTTCCGGCTCTAGCCCTGCACTTGAGCTGTGTGCCTTATTGCTCTTCACCGTTGCATCTGTAGTCTTCCTGTGACAGTGAAAGTTAGGGCCCCCCCTGTATCCCTGCAGGACTTTGATATCGATATTGTGGCTGTGGTGAATGACACCGTTGGGACCATGATGACCTGTGGCTATGATGACCAGAACTGTGAGATTGGTCTCATTGTGGGTACGTGAACTCTGGGTGTGAGCGCTGTGGGTGTGTGAACGCAGTGCTGGCCAGTGGATTGTGGCAGTGGGCTGCCAAGAGAGGAGGAGCCCTTGGCCCGCATCTTCCTTTGTATACCCTGTCAGAAGAGAATGGTGTGGTCACTTTTGAGGGCTGAGCCAGGACTTGAGGAGTTGTGGGTGGTAGTGGGTGGAACCGTGTCGAGATGCCCCAGGAGTCTGCAGGGAGGAATCCCAGTCACATTGAGCGGTCTGAGGACAGTTTTAAGGGGGAGATGGGGGCCGGGGGCTGGGGGAGGACAGTGTGAGTGGGTGCTGAGCATTCTCTTGTTTTGTCCAGGCACGGGCAGCAACGCTTGCTACATGGAAGAGATGCGCCACATCGACACGGTGGAGGGCGATGAGGGCCGGATGTGTATCAATATGGAGTGGGGGGCCTTTGGGGATGACGGCGTGCTTGATGACATCCGTACGGAGTTTGATCAGGAGATCGACATGGGCTCTCTGAACCCTGGGAAGCAACTGTGAGCGGTCCCCTGTGTGCAGTGGGCTCAAGGGTTTGGGCTCAGCAGCTGAGGTGGGGGCTGGCCAGGGCTAGGGGGTGGTTCTTATTTTTACTTTGCAGCTTTATATATAGCCCCTAAAGTTGCCAGGGCACCCACTGCTTATGGAAATGTGCTTATTACATATATTGTGACTATCAGTTGCTGAGAGCTGTCTGCAAAAGATAGAGTGAGTGGACAAACCAGATTATGGCTAATAATTTGACTCTCAAGAGTGGTCATTTTAGAAGATCGTATTCTAAGTGTGCTGCCCTGCTCTTTCTCTCTGCCTTCAGTCTGTACGTTGTACAGAGAAACAATTTTTGCACCACGTAAGAAAAGCCATGTTGAGATAGCAAAGATAAGGTATCTGGAAGCTCATTTCACAGCTCCTACCTCTGTCACTGCCCAGGGCACGAGGCTGAGAGTTGGCTCCTAATTGCTGCCTATTATGAGCTAGGCTGAATTGCAGGAGTCCCAGGGCCTCTTGCTATAGCTGTAGGCAGACCCAAGGCCTGTAGAAAAGTTGGTTAAGGAGCCCCTTTGGCTACCTTCTCTGGACCTGTGGTTCAACCAGGGTCCTTGAGTGGCCTGGAGGAGGGGCTCTAACTGTTTTTTTTGGTCCCTGGGTGCTATATTCTCCAACCTGGTCAGACTTAGTTTTTGGTTACTTTTGATTCTTACAAAATGTTATTTCAGTCTCACAAAAGTTTGCCTAATGTCCTTATTAAAGATCTTGAAACAGGGATTGCCACAAGCTCTAAAGGCAATTGCAAAACGTTTTGAGCAATCAAGTCCTCTCTGGCCTTTTTTTTTGAGCCTTGTGGGATCTTAGTTCCCTGGCCAGGGACTGAACCAGGGCTCTCAGCCCTGAAAGCTCGGAGTCCCAACAACTGTACCACCAGGGAATTCCTAGGCCCTCTATGGTCTTACTGGTGCTGTGACTGTTGTAGGAAATCTAGTACTTATCCCTGCTTGGAGGGGAAAATCCAGCCTTATAAACCAGCTTTATAAGAGAGGCTTTTGCTTTACAGCGGTGTGCAGGGTGTCCTTGCTTCCTCAAAGCACAGCTTATTTAAATCACAAGCTTCTCTCACATGTTCAAAAGTGAGTCCATTCATAGAATACTGGCTGTGTCTGCCACGGCTGGTGAGAAATTCATGGGCAGAAAAAACTGCTCAAAAAACAAACAAACAAAAAAAGGCTGGGAGGACATATTACCAATGCATCAGCTGTCCCTGAAGTTATTGCCGGGCTTGAATACGAATTTTTTTCTCACTGGTTATATTTCTAAATAAATGTGTTCCAAACACTGACTGAAACTCTAAAACCTGAGATAAAAACTTTTACCACTCACACTTCAGAGCGCCACTGGCCCCCTCCATTACCTCTCACAGAACCAGCTATTTTGGAGAAGGTACAAAGTAGACACGTGAGTTCCTTACTGCTGAGGCTGGGCTGCCTCTCAGGCAGCGTGCCTGTGTTGGTGCTTAAACATTTTAAACATACCTCCTGCTCAGGCAGTTTCACCAGCTCTCCACTTAGCTCTAGTCCTGCCATACCTGTTTGTGGGTCTTGGGCGAGTCACTTCCTGAGGGCCCGGCTTCCTCTCTTGTAGTTTGCAGCAGGTGACTTCGGAATTTCTTCCACACCCAGCTCTCGGCCTTCTTTGAAGGCCCTGTGTGCCTCTTCTCTCTAGGACCTAGATCCTTTCTAAGATATCATGAAAGGGCCTTTTTTTTGGCTAGAAAGAATTGTAAGGGCTTGGTTTCTCCTGTCATGTATCTAAGCCAGAAAGACTGCCTTATGGAGACAACAGTGTCACCTAGTGTTGAAAAAATAAATCACCCAACTTCCCTCTCAGCTATCTTGTCACCTTCCTGCTCAGAAACGGCCAACATGTCTCCCTTCCAGATTCCCCAAACCAGGTGACACTTAGAGCTCCTTCTCATCCGTCCCGACCTGTCCTTCTATTCTTGCCCAATCCCCCTTCCATCCCACGTTGTTCTGTTTTCTCAGGAAGCCACAAATGGCCTGCAAGGGGGAGGAAGTTTGAAGTGACGAGTTGCTAGCCCTGTGCACCCAAATTTAATTAGAGTGACCTGTTTTTTTTTTTTCCTGCTCTAATAAATACTGAGGTTTTGCATAAGAATTCATTTAAAAACAGCATTTCCTTGCTAGAGAAAAAGTTAATTTAAAAATTGCTACCCTACCACATAACCCACTTCACCTCAAATTCAAGCTTTGGTAGAGTGTCCCACACTCCCTGGATGTTTGGTTTGGCTGCTAAAGGACCCTCCTTCTCCATAGTTCAAGGCCCACCCGCCTGCAGAGACAGCCTGAGCTCCCGGTGCCTCCAACCCCATTTGTGCCCGCCTGTCACTTCGACTGGAGAAGGAAATGGCACCCCACTCCAGTGTTCTTGCCTGGAGAACCCCAGGGACGGGGGAGCCCGGTGGGCTGCCGTCTGCGGGGTTGCACAGAGTCGGACACGACTGAAGCGACTTCACTTTCACTTTTCACTTTCATGCATTGGAGAAGGAAATGGCAACCCACTCCAGTGTTCTTGCCTGGAGAATCCCAGGGACGGGGGAGCCTGGTGGGCTGCCGTCTGCGGGGTTGCACAGAGTCGGACACAACTGAAGCGACTCAGCAGCAGCAGCAGTCACTTCTCTAGACATCTCACTCCTAGTCAGTGCCACACAAGTTTGCACTTTGTTCTGCATAGGCGCCATGTGTACATGCTGCTTCCACAGGGACGTGTCAAGTTTGCTGGCAGCAGAGACTTATTTTGTTTGTATTTTGTTTGTATCTCTCTCTGCAGATTTGAGAAGATGATCAGTGGAATGTACATGGGGGAACTGGTGAGGCTTATCCTAGTGAAGATGGCCAAGGAGGAGCTGCTTTTTGGGGGGAAGCTCAGCCCTGAGCTTCTTGCCACAGGCCATTTTGAGACCAAAGATGTTTCAGATATTGAAGGGTAAGCTGTGGGTCCTTTTCTGTTTGCTGGGACCTCAGAAGGGTGGACAGATGGCTGGGGAGTGAGGAAGAGGCACAGGCTGTTGACCCTTCAGATGTGGACAGCAGGAGGGTCTCACCCAGCGTGAGGCTTGGCCTTACATGGCAGGCCTGTGGCTTGATGTCACTTGCCAGGTATTTTCCATTTGTGTCCGTTTTGAATGTGCCGACTACCAGGGTGACTCATGGTGCTGGGGAGAGCTGGTCCCCATACAAGGGCTTTCACTTTTACACTCATGTTCCTGTCTGGCACAGGAACCTCAGCTTGATGCTAGAGGCTCCCTGTCAACCCTGTAATGATTCATTTTCATCTACTTCTCTTTTCCTGGAGCCCTGGCATTTCATTCCCTTTTGTTGTTTAGTCGCTAAGTGGTGTCTGACCCTTTGCGACTCCATGGACTACAGCACGCAGACTTCCCTGTCCTTCACCATCTCCTGGAGCTTGCTCAAACTCATGTCCATTGATTCAGTGATGCCATCCAACCATCTCTTCCTCTGATGCCCCCTTCCTCTCCTGCCCTCAGCCTTTCTCAGAATCAGGGACTTTTCCAGTGAATTGGCTCTTCATATCAGGTGACCAAAGTATTGGAGCTTCAGCTTCAGTATCAGTCCTTCCAGTGAATATTCAGGATTGATTTCCTTTCGGATTGACTAGTTTGATCTCCTTGCAATCCAAGGGACTCTCAAGAGTCTTCTTCAGCACCACAATTTGAAAGCATCAATTCTTTAGCACTCAGCCTTCTTTGTGATCCAATTCTCACATCTGTACATGACTATTGGAAAAACCATAGGTTTGATTATACGGACCTTTGTCTGCAAAGTGATATCTCTGCTTTTAATATGCTGTCCAGGTTTGTCCTAGCTTTTCTACCAAGGAGCAAGTGTCTTTTAATTTCATGGCTGCAGTCACCATCTGCAGTGATTTTGGAGCCCCAGAAAATAAAATCTGCCACTGTTTTCATTTCTTTGCCCATCTATTTGCCATGAAGTGATGGGACTGGATGTTATGATCTTTGTTTTTTGAACATTGAGTTTTAAGCCAGCTTTTCCACTCTCCTCTTTCACCTTCGTCAAGAGGCTCTTTAGTTCCTTTTTGCTCTCTGCCATTAGGATGGGGTCATCTGCATATCTGAGGTTATTGATATTTCTCTTGGCAATCTTGACTCCAGCTTGTGATTCATCCAGCCTGGCATTTCACATAATGTACTCTGCATAGAAGTTAAATAAATAGGGTGACAACATATAGTCTTGACGTACTCTTTTCCCAGTTTTGAACCAGTCCGTTGTTCTCTGTCCAGTTCTAACTCTTGCTTCTTAACCTGCATACAGGTTTCTCAGGAGGCAGGTAGGTGGTCTGATATTCCCATCTCTTTAATAATTTTCCAGTTTGTTTTAATCCACACAAAGGCTTTAGTATAGTCAATGAAGCAAAAGTACATATTGTTTTTGAATTTCCTTGCATTTTCTATGACTCAGCAGATGTTGGCAATTTGATCTCTGATTCCTCTGCCTTTCTTAAATCCAGATTGTACATCTGTAAGTTCTTGGCTCACGTACTGTTGAACCTAGTTTGAAGGATTTTGAGTGTTATCTTGCTAGCATGTGAAATGAACACAATTGCATGATAATTGGAACATTCTTTGGAATTGCCCTTCTTGGGACTGGAATGAAAACTGACCTTTTCCAGTCCTGTGGCCATTGCTGAGTTTTCCAGGTTTGCTGGCATATTGATATTGAGCCCAGCACTTTAACAGCATCATCTTTTGCTCAGCTGGAATTCCATCACCACCACTAACTTTGTAGCGATGCTTCCTAAGACCTACTTGACTTCACCTCTAGGATGTCTGGCTCTAGCTGAGTGACCACACCATCGTGGTTATCTGGATCATTAAGACATTTGTGCAATTCTTCAGTGAATTCTTGCCATCTTTTTAACATCTCTGCTGCTTCTTTTAGGTCCTTGCCATTTCTGTCCTTTATTGTGCCCATCTTTGCATGAAGTGTTCCCTTGATATCTCCAGTTTTCTTGAGGAGATTTCTAGTCTTTCCCAGGCTATTGTTTTTGTCTATTTCTTTGCATCGGTCACTTAAGAAGGCTTTCTTCTCTCTCTTGGTGTTCTCTGGAACTCATTTAGTTGGGTGTATCTTCCTTCTCTCCTTTGTCTTTCACTTCTCAGCTATTTGTAAGACCTCCTCAGACAATCATTCCCTACTGACGACTTTCAGAAAGGGCTCTATCCTGACTCCTGCTTCATAACAGAAAAAGATGTCCTTGGACGGCCCGTTAGTTCCAAAAGTTAGAGTTGAGGCCTGCATTTTCACAGGGCAGCGGGAGTGGGAGTGAGCATGGCCTGATTTTTGTTTTTCAATCAACGATATCCGAAAAGTTGGACTTGGTTTCGTTTTTTTTTTTTTTTTCTCTTTTAAACTGCAGCTTTATTTATTTACTTATTTTTGACTGTGCTGTGTCTTCATTGCTGTGCAGACTTTTCCTCTAGTTTTAGTCAGTAGGGGCTGCTTTTCATTGCTGTGCATGGACTTTTCACTGTGGTGGCTTCTCTTGTTGTGGAGTGTGGACTCCTGGGCTTCAATAGCACGTGGGCGAAATAGTTGTGGTTCCCGGGTTCTAGAGCACAGGTTCAATAGTAGTGGCACACAGGCTTAGAGTCTCTGTGGCATGTGGGATCCACCCAGACCAGGGATTGAACCCATGTCTCCTGCATCGGCAGGTGGATTATTTGCCACTGAGCCAGCAGGGAAGCCCTGGTTTCCTCTTCTTGAGACTTCCACTTGTCACTTGAGGTGGCCTTGTTTCAGGCACCAGATGGTGGAGAGAAGATGATTTTGGGGCTAACAGGAGCAGTGAGACAGTCCCAATGACTTTGTTTTTAGTGGGATACTTGAATGAACTGTACCTGCTTGTTAAACTTGGAGGAGATGACAGTGCTCGGTATTTGTGGACACTTAGTTTCCCTAAGAAGAGGGCTAATCTCAAAGCATCAATCCTTGACCAACATCTGTAGATGCAAGTTAAAGCAGTGCCAACTCCATTGTGAAGTGCAACCGACTGACTGCTTGATAGAGAGAAAATAGGGTGGGCTCCACAGCTGAGTTCCTGTGGTCAGAGATAGTTGGTGGCAGGGACAACATTCCCACTCTCCTGAGATGAGCAAACTCACGTAAAGCCCCAGGAACAGGGCCTTGTCCTCCCGTAGTGTGTGCATAAGGAATCTTGGTTGTTCTCACTGGGGAAACGGGCGCCTGAAGAACTGTGTGTATGGGGGCGGCGGGGGGGAAAGAAGACCTCAGCTTGTGCCTTCCTCGCCTCTTTCTTCACCCCACCCCTCCATAGGTGGGCAGAGCAGCGAGGCGGGTGTCTGCCTTCCCTGGGACATGGCATTTGCTGGGGCCGAGGGCTTTCTTTGTGGGCACACTTCTTCCCTCCCACCGGCTATGGCGGCTCACACGCTGTTTCTGCTCCCCAGGGAGAAGGATGGCATCCGGAAGGCCCGTGAGATCCTGGCGCGGCTGGGCCTGGACCCGACACATGAGGACTGCGTGGCCACTCATCGGGTCTGCCAGATCGTGTCCACACGCTCAGCCAGCCTGTGCGCTGCCACGCTGGCGGCCGTGCTGCGGCGCATCAAGGAGAACAAGGGCGTGGACCGGCTGCGCTCGACTGTTGGGGTCGACGGCTCCGTCTACAAGAAGCACCCCCAGTGAGTCAGCACGTGGGGCCTCTGAGAGGCCTGACCCCGCAGGGACTCTGCGTTGCACTGTGGGGGTGGCGGAGATGGACCACGGCATCGAGGTTCTTTGTGGAATGAAAGCTCCCCGCTGGGCAAGTGGGAGCTGGAAGTGTGTTTCCTCGGCATGGGTGGAGGCTTTCCTCGGAGCTCTCCTGGCTTCTAGGGGCTCTTTTTTTTGTACTTTCTCAGTTCCAGCTTTACCTGGCTCACCTGGGTATTGAATTAATCCTGCCCTGCCGTCTGTGTTTTGATCCCTTGGTCATAAGTGCTTAAATATTCAAATTTCAGTTGGGACTTGAAATATATTTTTCTATGGTACCCACTTAGCTCATCATTTTCACCTAATAAGAACGCTAGGTCAGTGGCCCTTCATTAACTGAAGGGGAATGTGGAGGGTCTCAGCCCTTGCATGCCCTCGGCTCCTAGTCCAGTGCTTCAGAAACTTTAAAGTGCACACAGATTACTAGAGGATCTGGTAAAACGGCAGATTCTGATTCAGAAAGTCTGGGTTCAGCCTGAGATCCTGTGTCTCTAGTAGCACCCAGGGATGCTGCCAGCGCATGGGCCACACTTGGAGTAGAAAGGCCTTGGAGACCGTGGCTCTGAGCAGCCACCACACAAATCCTCAGCTGTTCAGATATCTCTGGGGTTCTTGGCAGAAATCAGCCAAAGAGCGGCCGAAGTCTAGAAGATCATTTTGACGTTTCTGTTTTTGGGTCTTTCCTAGGCAGCATGTGCTGAAATGATGAAACATGAATAGTAGTTGGCGTCAGAATCACCTGAGGCTGATAATTTGGGCAGAGGAGCTGGGGCCTGTGAGGAGGGGGGTCTTCTTTGAGTTTGTGCAGGAGATGGTGGCTTCCCAGAAGGGTCCTTCCCTTTTCACAGGGGTTGCAGTTAAATATTTTGAGCTTTCATACAGTGACCCCCAACCTGGGAAGGAGTAGGGAGAGAGTGTTTAGGGTGTCATTTGGGCTGAGGTGGTGAGCTACTGCCCCAACCCTTTGTACCACTGGCCCTCCCTGTGGGCAGCCCACTCTTACCCCGTCTCTGTGACCGCAGTTTTGCCAAGCGTCTTCACAAGACCGTGCGGCGCCTGGTGCCCGACTGTGACGTCCGCTTCCTCCGCTCTGAGGATGGCAGCGGCAAGGGGGCCGCCATGGTGACGGCGGTGGCCTATCGGCTGGCCGACCAGCACCGGGCCCGCCAGAAGACCCTGGAGTCTCTGAAGCTGAGCCGTGAGCAGCTGCTGGAGGTCAAGAGGAGGATGAAGACAGAGATGGAGCGAGGTCTGAGCAAAGAGACTCACGCGACTGCCCCTGTCAAGATGCTGCCCACCTATGTGTGCGCCACCCCTGATGGCACAGGTACGCAGTAGGGCCGCCACCCAGCTCACGGGCTCAGTCACTCCAAGAGGACTCCCTTAGCCTTCGCATTAGGTGTTCAGGTCAGATTGCCGCATGTGTTTCTTCAGCTGTAGTACTGGGAAATTCTGGTGTTCAGTGAGCTCGACCAAGGCACTCCTTTGCTAAAACTGAACAGTGGTCGTGGTAAGTGCTTAATGAATGCTTACTGTGTGTCCAGCGCTTCTCTAAGCATTCCACACATATAAATTCATGTAATCTTCAACTGTTAACAGACACTGATAGTTAATTTTTTTGGTCAACAAGCTATTATGTTTTACACCAAACCTAGGCGCAGGGAAATTAAGAAACCTGCCCAACTTCACATAGCTAGAAGATGGTAGAGCTGGGATTCAATTCTAGGAATTTTGGTTCCAGGGTTAGATCTTATAAGGTCAGGGGCTGGCAAACTAAAATCCACGGTCTAAATCTAGCCCACTGCCTATTTTTACAAATAAAGTTTTATTAGTACACAACCATGCCCATTTGCTTACATATTGTTTATGGCTGCTTTGTGCTACCAGGGACACGTTGTATTGTTGCACCCTAGTCCAGCCAGGTCTCCCTCCTCTATAGAGGGGAATGCAGTGCCTCCCTCTTGCAGCTGCCTGAGGGTTGCATGGAAACTGTGACTGAGGCATGTAGTGCCTTGTGACTGTCCTACAAAGGAGGGTTTTCTCATTTAGAAAAATTTCCCTTCAGTTTTCTTTAAAGAGTTGGACTCCATTGTTCCTTCTCTCTTCTCTATTCTGGAACCTTATGTAAGGTGGCCTTTGAGTTTGTACAGGTGGCATGTTTGGATATTTTGGAGTGTACCGTATCACCATTTCTTTCCTGTGTTCTGGAGCTCATTGTAATTCCTGGGATCCTGCAACTTGAATTCATTTGAGAACCACAAAGGAGCCAGGAAATCTCTAATCCTGGGGTTCTTATTTTCTTTATCATTAGGTGGAGCTTACTGTCTATCATGGAGAAGGAAATGGCAACCCACTCCAGTATTCTTGCCTGGGAAGTCTCATGGACAGAGGAGCCTGGTGGGCTACAGTCCATGGGGTTGCAAGAATCGGGCACAACTTAGTGACTAAACCACTGTCCCTTATCCCAAGATTGTCCAGGCCTCCTGGGAGAGCTCCCCATTAGGGGAAAGTGACTGTCACTCTCTTTAGCCCCAGTAAATTATCCTTGGCTTACTTTCCAGAGAAAGGAGACTTCCTGGCCTTGGACCTCGGGGGCACCAATTTCCGGGTGCTGCTGGTGCGCGTGCGGAACGGGAAGCGGCGCGGAGTGGAGATGCACAACAAGATCTACTCTATCCCGCAGGAGGTCATGCACGGCACGGGGGAGGAGGTAAGGCGGGAGACTCCCCCTTCTCACCGGGGGACAGTGCTTTCTCTGCTTTCACCCGTGGTCCTGCGGAGGCGTAGGTGGGCTAGGGCTCTGGCTGGCCTTACCTAAGGATGTGCCCGAGCTGGCACTTCTCTTGGCTAGAGGCCCAGAGCCGGTGTTCAGGCCCTGCTGGGCGCAGCCTGCCCTGGCCAGCCCACCCTCCCGTCCCCACCCACCACCCCACTCAGAGCCCACCTTCTCCTTACAGCTCTTCGACCACATCGTCCAGTGCATTGCGGACTTCCTGGAGTACATGGGCATGAAGGGTGTGTCCCTGCCTCTAGGTTTCACTTTCTCCTTCCCCTGCCAGCAGAACAGCCTGGACGAGGTAACAGTGCTTTCCTAGAGGGCTCTCCTGTGGTCTGTACTAACTCTGAACCAGCCAGGGTTTTAGAGCAAGGGAGAAAGCTGACCCAAGAGGAAGAAAAGAAGGGCATTAGTGATCAGTCATGGGGAAGGGCTTGTTGATGGGAATGAGTAAGTCAGAGCTGGTGAGAGTCAAGTAGGGATAATGATCTTTGGGATAATGAGGACAATCCTAATAATATCAACAACTGACATTTTTTTAAAGTATTTTGTGCAAGGTACTCTGTTGGTTTCGTCTTCTAACCCTCACAGCAACCATATAAGGTAGGTGTTTGTGTGCCCATTTTGCAGAAAGGAAAACAAGGTCTACAGAGATGCCAAGTATCTTGCAGGTCATATAGCCTGCGAGTGGCTAAGCCATGATTTCATTCCAGTTCCTTGACACATGAGTCCATCCTGTCAGTTATGCTCAGCTGTCCTGAGGCCCCTGGTTTGGGCTCGGGGCATTTCACTCCATCTCCTGTGTGGATGTCATATTTCCCGAGTGTCACCTTTGCTTTTTATTCCCTGTCAGCTTGCCTTGGATGAGTGAAGCAGGGGATAAAGATCTGGTGCTCTCACAGCAGACCTTATGTCACTTATGAGTTTTGTAAACGCCTCCTAGGCCTCCCCTCTGAGAGTTAAATTTACCGTGTGCACTGCTGGCACAGGTCAGGTGTTAGAAGTCCTGGTAAAAACCCTGCCTAATCCAGTATTTCCCAACATCTGTTAACATTTGTCCAGTGTTAACTGGTCTAGGATTGCTTTTAGTTTTTCCAGCTTCTTTGTCTCAGCATATTATTTTTTTCAGTATTAATGCATTGGTTTTCAAAGCCTTCTCATTTGCATCAGTTTACTAAAAGTACTTATCAAACATGTGTATAAATATTTATGTGATATTTAATGAAACATTGCTTATTATAACAGTCATTAGAAACAAACTAAGTTATTCAGCAGTTGGGAAATAGTTAAGTCGTGAGTCGTTCACTGCCTCATATTAACGACTAGTGTTTTGGAAGGAATCTCAATGATTTGGGAAAACACTGGTGGTAAGACTAAACTAATATTTTTAAGAAAAGTATAATCTCTATAATATGAAATGTATAAAATGTGATTAATAGGAAGATAAAAAAATTCCAGTTTATATGCTTCTAGACTTCTATTGAAATATTTTTAACAGATTTTCAAGTATAGCATGTGTGTATATATGCTTATATATTTATCTGGTGGCCTCCAAGACATGTCAGCTGTTTCTTTTCATGCCTGAATTGTAAAATTCCAGGTCATTGTACTGCATTTATGCCGTATGTTCTAAGTTTCTGTGAGCAGCAGGTGTTCAGTCTAGAACTGTGAAAGCTAAGAATAAGAGAAGCAGAAGCTGGGTTCTATCTTTGTTCTGTCTGTAAGTTGGGTTCTGTTCTGCTGAGATCAGCCTGTTGAAGGGGACATCAGCAGGTTCTGAAGCCCAGAGGCCTCAAGCCGCCTGGCTTAGCTGGAGGCCACGGGCAGCTCTCCCCAGCTGTTGGGGCCTCTGCATGCCAGATTATTTAAGGACCATTTACAGTAATGTTATTTCAACATTCCGAATGCTTGGAAGTGACAAATACAAAATTTCATCAGAGATGTCAAGCTAATTTGTAAACAAGAAAATCAGAGTGGTTTGGATATTGGTGTGTAAACTAGGTCACTACTGAGATTGAACTTGGTTTTTCTGAGTTTCCTGGGATCTGAACACAGTGGGACTTGTGATATCAAACTCCTGGGACGTGAGAAACCAAGCAAGTCTTGGAGAAACCATGCCAGTGGGTAGTAGTGAGCACATGGCCCTTTTGTGGGTTCAGGCCTCTCAAGAGTGGTCTGGGGGTCCTGGATGCCTATTCTCTGATGGACTGAAGCAGCACAGAGGGAGCCAGGGAACAGTATATGAAATAGTCCCCCATATTCCTCATATATATCCCTCATATATCTGCTCCTGAAAGGCCCTGTAACTCAGCAGAGGTACTTATTCACTTCATAGTGGAGTCTGAAAATTCAGAGACACAAACCGACCCCTCTGTGTGATGTTCAGGGCAAAGTGTTTTTCCTGGTGAAGGAAACAGTTCCTTGGCAGGGGCAGTTGTGTGGTGCTTATGAGCCCTTCCATTGGAGTTGGTGAGCCTGGGAGTGAGTGCCTCCTCTATTCCAAGCTGCAGGCCTTGGGCACTTTATTCCAGGGCCAGAGTTACTTGTAAAATGGGCATGATAATGATAAACATTTCATACAGTTGCTGTGAGGATTAAATGGTGTAACACATGGGTTGTGCTTAGCCCAATACCTGGTGCATAGTCAGCCCTGCTAGTAGGTGAAACAGGTTCAGAATAACCTGTGGGCGAGGTGATCGGTTTTCAAAGGGCCTCTGATAACCTGTGAGGTTGACAACTAGAGAAGGAGCCAAGAGTCCTTCTCTGACATCCACCTCCCTGCCCATGTGCGATTTTTAGAGCATCCTCCTGAAGTGGACGAAAGGCTTCAAGGCGTCCGGCTGCGAGGGTGAGGACGTGGTGATGCTGCTGAAGGAGGCCATCCACCGGCGGGAGGTAGGAGAGGCGCAGCGTGAGGCCTGAAGGGTCTGTGGGTGCAAAAGCGGGGGACTGCTAAGTGCAGTGGTGTTGGTCACAGGGACAGTTACTCTAGTCCTTCAGCAGTTTGTGAGTGTCCGTGGTCTGTCAAGCCTTGCTCTTGGCAACTGGGGATTCAGGAATGCCTGCAAGCTCTCGTTCTGTAAACAAACCATGAGCTAATGTCAGGTGCTTTTGTGCTAGGAAGGAAAATGAATTTGGGTGAGGACAGAGTGAGTGGGGCTGGGGAAGTGCATTCTTTTAAATAGTATAACCAGGGAAGGTCTCTGAGGAGGTGACATTCGAGCAGAGCAAATAAGCCCTGCTACATAAGCTTTCAGTTCAGTTCAGTTCAGTTGCTCAGTCATGTCCGACTCTTTACGACCCCATAAACCGCAGCACGCCAGGTCTCCCTGTCCATCACCAACTCCCAGAGTTTACCCAAACTCATGTCCATTGAGTCGGTGATGCCATCCAGCCATCTCATCCTCTGTCGTCCCCTTCTCCTCCTGCCCCCAATCTTTCCCAGCATCAGGGTCTTTTCAAATGAGTCAGCTCTCTGTATCAGGTGGCCAAAATATTGGAGTTTCAGCTTTAACACCAGTCCCTCCAATGAACACCCAGGACTGATCTCCTTTAGGATGGACTGGTTGGATCTCCCTGTAGTCCAAGGGACTCCGAAGAGTCTTCTCCAACACCACAGTTCAAAAGCATCAATCCCTCGGCCCTCAGCTTTCTTTGTATAAGCTTTATACACATCTAAATCTTCCTCGCAAGTGTCTGAGGGGCAATATTGTGGCTCATTTGGGGGTTTGGATCTGCTGTTGTTCTCAGGAGTTTGACCTGGACGTGGTTGCCGTGGTGAATGATACAGTTGGGACTATGATGACCTGTGGCTATGAAGACCCTCACTGTGAAGTCGGCCTCATTGTTGGTGAGGACTTGGGCTGTCCTTCCCCTGTGGGGTCACATAGCCTAGGATGGGGGGAGACGGTGGCTGAGGGAGGCCCTGACTGACGTCTCTTGGTTGGCAGGCACAGGCAGCAATGCTTGCTACATGGAGGAGATGCGGAATGTGGAGCTGGTGGAAGGGGAAGAAGGGCGGATGTGTGTCAACATGGAGTGGGGGGCTTTCGGGGACAACGGATGCCTCGATGACTTCCGCACAGAATTTGACGCAGCTGTGGATGAGCTCTCCCTCAACCCTGGCAGACAGAGGTAGGCGCCAAGCTGCGTGTGGGCTCTGGTATGTTTATATCAGAACTGAACAGTGAAGAGTCGCCCACAACAGCAAAGCGCAGGATGCTCATTCTCTTGAGGTATTAACAGAAGAGATTTCTTTGGAAAGGGCTTCTTGTCAGATACATCTGGGAAGTTCTGGGTTAAGTCCTTTTTGTCCTGCTGAACTGTGATGGTCTCGAAGTCCAGTTGGGAAAACAAAATCACAACAGTTATGTTGCAAGGAGAATTGGAGTTGGTCACACAGGTTTTAGAGGGATGAAGAGATCAAAGGGGGTTGCTGAGTAGCACAGAAGTTAGTATACATGTAGGAAGCAGCTCCTACTGTGAGGACTAGAGAGGTGGGATAAAGTGTTAAAACCTAGGTGTGGGACTTAAGGAAAAACAGACAGTTGAACCACTTGTTGCCATCAGGGTGAAGAAGCATTGCTGGGGCGAGGCAGGCAGGACCAGGAAGCAAACAGGAGCAAGCCTTTCTCCATCCATCCAGTGTGTAGCATCATCTGTTGTCATACTGGACAAGGGGGCAGCCCCAGCATCACCAAGCCCTTGGTGTGGTGGGGTCCCATTAGGAAGAGGTTGAATGTAGTGTTTCCTAATTGGATTAACCAGGGACCTACTTCTGCAGAATATCCCTTGCAAACATTTGTCTATAGTAGAGGTCACAGACTAAAGTGCCTCCAGGAACCAGCCAGACAACATTAATGAAAGAAAACAGGCTGGAGTAAGACAAGATTAAGCGATGATGGAATCTTGGTTGAAATTGAGAATGTTGATATTTTTAAAGGCACTATGCAGAGCCAGAAGACCCTCAAGCTATTGAGTAGTCATATTTAGTTCTCTTGGCCAGTTTAGTTCTCAGCTAGTGCTAGTTATTTAAGCAACAAATGATTAGGTTAAAGAGAAAGCATGCTAAATTCTCAGCAACATCAGGGATTAAGATTCAGCATCCTACCCTTCTGGAAGTGGGGTGGGGTTTGGTGTGAGTTCCTTCTTGAGAAGTCAGGAATAAGCCTTGGAAGGAAAATGAACCCATTAAATGGAGTCAATTCCGGGAATCCCCTTGGGTCTCAGGACACATTTTACTGAACGCTATGAGTCAGTACATGTGGACGCCAGGAATCCTGCCTAAGTGAGTCAAATAGCATTTCCTTTTCCACCAACGGGAATCTGTATGCTCTCTACCTTCTAATGCAGAGGAGGCTGGTCTGTCTCAGCACATCCTATACTTTTTAATCTCCATGAACATTACCTGCATTGCAGGTTTGAGAAAATGATCAGCGGCATGTACTTGGGCGAGATTGTTCGTAATATCCTCATCGATTTCACCAAGCGTGGGCTGCTTTTCCGTGGCCGCATCTCAGAGAGGCTCAAGACAAGGGGAATCTTTGAAACCAAGTTCCTGTCTCAGATTGAGAGGTGAGAATTTAGGGCCTGGAGTAGGATGGACCGTATATCCTTTTCATGGAGAGACTAGCTGGGATTTTCACAGTTCAGGTAAGATCAGGGTATGGCTTACATAAAGATCAGTTTAGTAGCTAATGTGTTTATATCTATATAGTGTTGTTTTAAAGCACTGTATGAACAGTTGGGATTTTAAGGGAAAATATGTGATATTTCTTGTGAAAAATCATGATTTTTTAATAAGCTGGATCAACCTGTACAAAGCAGTATTGCTGGTTCTAGGCCAATTTCAAAGGTAGAAAGAAAGATAGCTGCTCACAGAATGTAAATGGTAATGCACGGCAGAAGATAACTCACTAAAGCACCGGTGCTTGGCAAGAAGGATCTTCTTAACTGCTGGCTGCAGTAATAAGGCGACCAGGATCAAGTGGCATCCTGTGGTGGCTCATTAAAGCGAGGCCTTCTTCCTCCAGTTTAATGGTGGGGAAGAGAAGTCTGCTCTAAATTAGAATGCTGAGTTTCAGAGCCTTCTGAAAATTAACGCTGTGTCATTAATATTACTTTCAGGCATATTGAAAAGCAGGAACTGGACAGCCGACATGAGGGGGGCCCTAAGTTATCTGCACCGGTAGACAGAATACTGTTCTGGTTTACATGTCTCTTTTCTTCTTCTATAAATAGAGCACAAGTATATCACAGACCACCCAGAGTGGGGGACCCTGTAGAACAGGCATCTAATGTTGGTTGTTGGTGCTTGTCCTGCTGGCCTATGAACAATGAGAGACTGGACAGGAAAGGGCTTTGCAACTGAAAGCTGTCATGTATTAGCATCATCACTGTCTTTGCTATTTCCAAATAAGTGGAATCATGGCCAGTGAATTTCCTTTTGAGTATCAGTTTTGCAGCAGCAGTGTGCCCCTTGCCTGGGTAAAGTGGCAGAGGGAGTTGTTTCTTTGTGTTCCTGTCCATGTGGGCCAGTGTGATAAGCGCTAGTTCCTGAACTGAGTTTAAAAATAGAGCCATCTCTCACGGACGGTAGCCTTTACCCTAGCGCTTGGAAGTCCAGGTCCCCCAGAACTGCTTCTGATGAAGGAGCCAGGCCCTGGCGGGGCAAGCCGTCAGGCCCTCTCGGTACGTCACTGACCACTGGCTGTCTCCTCCTGCCCCAGTGACTGCCTGGCCCTGCTGCAGGTCCGTGCCATCCTGCACCACTTAGGGCTCGAGAGCACGTGCGATGACAGCATCATCGTCAAGGAGGTGTGCGCCGTGGTGGCTCGACGGGCAGCTCAGCTCTGTGGCGCAGGCATGGCCGCTGTAGTGGACAAAATCCGAGAAAACCGTGGCCTGGACACCCTCAGAGTGACAGTGGGTGTGGACGGGACCCTCTACAAGCTGCATCCTCAGTGAGTGCCTGACCTACACTCTTCCTACCCATCTTCCTCCCACATCTCTTCATTCTTTCCCTGCTTTCCTTTCTCTCTCTCTATTTTATGGCAAATTATCAGATGTTCCAAAGAGTGTGTATAGTGCATATATTATAGTTTAAAGATTAATAACTAGAAGTAGGTCTGTGTTTTACCATCCACCTTGGAAGCCCCCTGTGAGCTCCTCCCAGTTGCACCCTTCATTTTCCCCACCATGAGTAAGTGCTGAGGTGTAAGTCTATCACTCTTTTTCTCCCATATTTTATGTATGCATCTACAGTGTTTATTTTTACTTTATTTTTTTTTGGCTGCACTGAGCAGCATATGGGATCTTAGTTCCTGGACCAGGGATCGAACCTGAGCCCCCTGCATTGGAAGTGCAGTCTTAGCCACAGGACCACCAGGGAAGTCCCAGTTTGACTTAATTTTGAATTTACCATAAGGGGACTCATATGGCATCTTTTCTTTTGTGACTGGTTTTTCTCACACTGCCTGTATGGTTTTTAGATGCATCAACACTGAAGTCTGCAATCATAGTTCATTAATTTTCAGGGCTGTAACCTTTGAGTGACTAAGCTATAATTTATCCTAATGATGAATATTTGGGTTATTTCTAGAGTTTGACTATTACAAACAGTGCTTCTGCCAATGTTCTAGTAAATGCATGCTGGAAATCTGGAGCATTTTTTCCTATAGTCTAGGGTAGGAGTTGGCAGATTATAGCCACAACTGTTTTTGTAAATAAACTGTTGAAATACAGCCATGCCCTGCTGTTTATCTGTTGTCTATGGCTGCTTCCAGCTATTAACAGCAGAATATATGACCCACAAAGCTCAAAGTGTCAATTGTCTAACCCTCTATAGAAAAAGTTTGCCACCCTCATCTCTAGTATGGAAATACTGAATTCCCTTTCCTTTTTACTCTTTTTCCGGTCTTTGTCCATCTCTTCCCCCTTTTGTCCTCTCATCACTATTTCTCTTCTCCTTTCTTCTCTCACTTGCATATATTTTGAATAAATTGTTTTAAAATCAGGATATACCTCAGTCTCTTTCCCAAACAGAGCTGTGCCCCTTGTTCCGCAGAAGGTATGGTGGAGAGACTCATTGATTGAATTGTCACCTGTGTCACCATGATTGTTTCAAGGAGTTGAGAAGCTTGCCCAGAGTCCACAGTTAGTGCAAAGCGTGGACCCTGAGAAATTCTAAGTTTCTCTTATTGGTGTTCAGTGTCATTGTGAATATAGGAACCTCAGTCCCAAATGAAGGTTGGGAGTGGGACAGAAGTCCAGCCACTAGCACGGGGGACCTAGTCAGGACCTCTGTTCTCAGCTCTGCCAATGGGGAGGACAACTGGACCCTGCTCTCGCGGGCAGATAATGACACATGGTCTCTTTCTCTAGTCCCGAATCAGGAAGAATCTTTGATTCTTGTCATCTCCCAGAAACACCCTCCTGAGTCTGCTCCTTTTGCCTTTAATGAAATTTGAGGTTAGACATGAGTCTGATATGAATTAATATCTCTGGAAAATGGAATATCACATGTATTGGACTTGGTCCTCCCCTCTAGAACTGATAAACAGGCACTTCTGCAAGGCGTGCATAAATGACGGCTCTTTTAAGAGCACAGCTGGCCATAATCTCAGGCTTTTGTCCTAGAGTTGAATCTTAACTTCTCACTTAGCTTCTCATGCCCACTGTGACATAGAATTTGGGCATGTTGCTAGTCTCTCCAAACCTGAGTTTTCTGAAACACAATACATAGTGTTTAATATGGTAGCTATCATCCTCTTCTCCATCTCAATTATTTCTAGGTTTCTAGCATCACTTCTTAGGGCCCTATCTTTCAGGACACAAATCTGTCATGACTAAGATATTTTATTCTGTCTTCCTCCCAACTTTTTCAGCTTTGCCAAAGTCATGCATGAGACGGTGAAGGACTTGGCTCCAAAATGTGATGTATCCTTCCTGGAGTCAGAAGATGGCAGTGGGAAGGGGGCAGCTCTCATCACTGCTGTGGCCTGCCGCATCCGAGAGGCTGGACAACGGTAGAGCCCCTGCAATTGGAAGGACTTCCTCTGGTTTCCCTTCTTTCCTGCTTTAAATTATAAGATGCCATTCCCCTTGTGTCAGAAACAGACCCCTTGGCTTTTCCTTGCAGAGAGGACCTCATTGGACTAGGTTTTGTCTCTGTCTACCAAATTGTAGAGTTTGGTACCCAAGCCTTGGCCCTCCTGAGATAAATACAATTTGAAGTAAGGATTTGTTCACACTTGTCACAACCATTACCATTGATTTTCTTAAAACTCGAAAAAAAGATTTAATCTTTGGTAATCCCCCTGGCCAAATTCCATGTCCCTGTATAATCCTACAGGATGGGGACAATAATAAAAAATATGTTTGCTTCACCTTGAAGCCTGACCGTGACATTTCAAGGTGGAAAGCCTCCCCCAGCTTGAAGGTTGGTGCTATTTCTCCTCTCAGAGAGCTGAGAGGTCTCCACTGACTTGAGCCCAATTCTCCCATAGGCAAGGGGGAGGGGCGGCAATGGAGGGGAAGTCCATGGATAGCCATGTGGCAGCCCCTCTTCAACCTCACCTGTAAGGATTTGCCTCGTGGGTTCCAGTGGATGCTGTTCCTGGAATCAAAGCATCCTGCGACTGATCAAGCAAAACCAAAGCCTAGAGTCCTGGGAGTGGGTTCACAGGTCATCCATAAGCAGTGGACCTTTGGGAGCGGGAAGACTTTTTGGTCTGTTTTAAAATTTTTTCCTGCAGAAGTGGAAACACTGTATTTTCATTTTAATTTATATTTGAAATGTATTTAGTTCATGAAGTACATCTGCTCCTTCATCTTGACACTGTATGATCCTCTGTATGTAATGTATTTATATGTTAATTTGCTATGTCTATAAATACACAGGGTCTCAATAAATCAATGTAGTTAAAGGATGGAAGATGAAGATATACTGATCGGTTACTGGAAATACCTCATTCATCTGCAGGAAGAGAAGGAAAACATCATTAAAGCGAGTGAATGGTCAAGCAGCTCCTCCTTTCCCTGCAGACTCAGAAACTTGGAAGGTGTCTGGGGATAGTGTGAAGGAGGTTGGGACTATGGACTGAAGAAACCACACTAAATGGTTGCTCAGTCTAGAAACTTTTCTGGCACAATATTACATGAGATATTAACAAAGGAAACAGGAATCATTTCAAATAAACTGCTTAGCAATCTTCATTCTTAGGGCAGTTAGTAGTATCTTAAACCTCTCTAACAAGATAAAGGAAGCCACCAAAAATATTTGCAAAATGGTCTAATTGTTGATAGCAAACCAAAACCAAACTATTCATCAAACATACAAAACAGGGACAACACATTTGGTGGATTTGTACGCTTCTAGCAAATTTCACCCTGGGTTTGTTTTGTAAATGTTCTATAAGAGGTATTGTCCACAGACTTCCTAGGCTGAGCTGTTTTTACAAGAATTATTTATTTCAAACTGCGTGGGTAGAGAGGGGAAGGGACCCAAAACCTTCCTTACCCTACTTTTTAGAGTGCAGTTAATCCTGAATCTAAGAGCCCACTCCTGCCCTAAAATATTAAATCATTTTAATATTTTTATTAAACCCGAATACTTCATAATAAAGAGGGGAAGACCTTTTAACAATGTTGAGTAGGAGACAAGGATCAAAATAAAAATGGAACGACACAACTCAGAGCACCCAAATTTTGCACATTTATCAAACTTGTAGTGAGAACAGTGTCTAGATTTGTGTATCACTAAGGGATGCCCAAGAAATAGAAGTGAACTTTTAACTTTTAAACTTGAAAAATTAGGCACCATCTATGAAATTGCACATTTTTAAAAGGTAGAGCTGTGTGTGTGGCTTCTAAAACGGAATGCTGGAAAATGCATTTTGAACAGTTGTGTTCCCACAGATAGGTGATAGTTCCTTGCTGACGCTGCTTTGCCTGTGTAAATATATTGACTCTCAATCTCTGACTGTGATGTGCTCAATAGCAGATCATCTCACACCCTTGAGCACTCAGTCTAGTGAAGATGTTGTCATGTACAATAAAGAACTAGTTCGATTAACTGTGTGATGTTAACTATTATTAATAAATTTTAACATTTTTCAAATATTCCATGTGTGATTCATGAGACTTTTCAAGAGTGCAGTCATCTCTCAAGCATATTAGTATTTCCTAACCCATCTGAGTAATTGCTGAGTGTTTTGATTTTGACTATACGTGCTTGACAGGCATGTGGCCAACACTTGGCCTTGATCCCAGATATTTCTCACCCAGAAACACAGTGCCAATGGAATGGGGATCTAGATGGTTTTTCCTAGGCTGTATTTGAGCCCCTGGATTTCAAGCACCGCTGAAACCATGGCTGGTGCAGCAGTCTGCTGTTTTAAGCAGTTTGGCTGAGATGAGGCAGAACCCTCAGGGACTCTGGCTAGACTCTGTAGGTATATATGATTCACATTCAAGATATAAAGCCCTTACTTATATGAACTCTAAAAAGCACTTGCCTCTATCCTCTCCTTACCATCTTTTAAAACTCTTTCCTTAATAAGCAAAATACAAACCTGGTAAATAAACTTCTTACAAGTTCTTAGTGATACCCACTGATGATATTGACATGGCCCTGCTTGACAATAACTGAAAAAGGAGCAGATAAAGGCTAACAGAATATTAGATAGGCAGAACACAAAATTCAAACTTGCTAGTGGTGAAGGAAAAGAAATTAAAATTAGGCCCTAGTTTTCTGACTTCAAATTGGTGAGCTTATAGGAGCATACTTATATACTATTGGTAGAAGTGCAAGGTACAGTCATTTAGGAGAGGAATAGGCAATGTCCATTAAAAAAAAAACAGAGTTCTGCACATTTTTCTAGAAATTTGTGAGAGGAAATACACATAGTTGGAGACCAAGATTTATCTTTAAGGGTATTTGTGATTGCATGACTTAAAATAACAAAATAGGGGTCTGCCTAACTTGTACCAGGATCCGGTCAGGAAGACAATCTACTACAGTTAATTCAAACAGATTTTAACACAGGGACTTGGTTACAGAGGTAATAGTAGAGCTGAGAAGTTCCGCAGTGTAGAGGAGCAACCCAGAGATTAGCAACATCAAACATCTCCACTTCTATCCTAATGGCTGAGTCAGAAGCTAGAACCATAGAGCTGGGGTGGGAGGTGGTTAGAAATACCTGACTTCTTTCTAGTTTTCTGCAGTGTCTCCCATTGACCCTACTTGTGAGGCAAATAGATTCAAGAGATTAGATCTGATACAGTGCCTGAAGATCTATGGACAGAGGTTCATAAAATTCTACAGGAGGCAGTGATCAAAACCATCCCCAAGAAAAAGAAATACAAAAAGTTAAAGTGGTTGTCTGAGGAGGCCTCACAATTAGGGGAGAAAAGAAGAGAAGTGAATGGCAAAGGAGAAAAGGAAAGATACTCGCATTTGAATGCAGAGTTCCAAAGGATAGCAAGGAGAGATAAGAAAGTCTTGCTAAGCGAACAATGCAAAGAAATAGAGGAAAATAATAGAATGGGAAAGACTAGAGATCTCTTCAAGAAAATTAGAGATACCAAGGGAACATTTCATGCAAAGATGTCCTTTATTGAAAGGACAGAAATGGTATGGACCTAACAGAAGCAGAAGATATTAAGAAGAGGTGGCAAGAACACACAGAAGAACTGTACAAAAAAGATCTCATGACCCAGAAAATCATGATGGTGTGATCCCTCACCTAGAGCCAGACATCCTGGAATGTGAAGTCAAATGGGCCTTAGGAAGCATCAGTATGAACAAAGCTAGTGGAGGTGATGGGATGCCAGTTGAGCTATTTCAAATCCTCAAAGATGATGCTGTTTAAGTGCTTCTCTCAATATGCCAGCAAATTTGGAAAACTCAGCAGTGGCCACAGGACTGGAAAAGGTCAGTTTTCATTCTAATCCCAAAGAAGGTCAATGCCAAAGAATGTTCAAACCACCACACAATTGCACTCATTTCACATGCTAGCAAGGTCATGCTCAAAATTCGCCAAGCTAGGCTTCAACAGTACATGAACTGAGAACTTTCAGATGGACAAGTGGGATCTAGAAAGGGCAGAGGAATCAGAGATCAAATTGCCAACATCCAATGGATCATAGAAAAAGTAAAAACATTCCAGGAAAACATTTACTTCTGCTTCATTGACTACACTAAAGCCTTTGACTGGGTGGATCACAACAAACTGGAAAATTCTTCAAGAGATGGGAATATCAGAGCACCTTACCTGCTTCCTGAGAAACCTGTATGCAGGTCAAGAAGCAACAGTTAGAACCAGACATGGAACAATGGACCTGTTAAAAATCAGGAAAGGAATACTTCAAGGCTGTGTATATTATCACCCTGCTTCTTATATGCAGAGTACATCATGTGAAATGCTGGGCTGGATGAAGCACAAGCTGGAATCAAGATTGCCAGGAGAAATATCAGTAACCTCAAATATGGAGATGACACCACACTTATGGCAGAAAGCAAAGAGGAACTGAAGAACCTTTTGATGGAAGTGAAAGAAGAGAGTGAAAAAGCTAGCTTAAAACTCAACATTCAAAAAACTAAGGTCATGGCATGTGGTTCCATCACTTCATGGCAAATGGGGAAACAATGGAAACAGTAACAGACTTTATTTTCTTGGCCTCCAAAATCACCGCAGATGGTGACTGCAGCCATCAAATTAAAAGACGCTTGCTCCTTGGAAGAAAAAGCTATCGCCAACTTAGACAACATAGTAAAAGACAGAGATATTACTTTGCCAAAAAGGTCTGTCTAGTCAAAGCTATGATTTTTCCAGTAGTCATGTATGACTGTGAGGGTTGGACCATAAAGAAAGCTGAGCACTGAAGAACTGATGGTTTTGAACTGTGGTGTTGGAGAAGACTCTTGAGAGTCCCTTGGACTGAAAGGAGATCAAACCAGTCAATCCTAAAGGAAATCAGTCCTGAGTATTCACTGAAAGACTGATGCTGAAGCTGAAGCTCCAACACTT